CGGCTGCGCACCCCCGCCACGCTCCCACCTGCGCTAACGTGACCTGGCCCCCCTTCCCACGCCCACCCCCACGCCCGCACACGTGTTCAGCCCCACACGCGTGACTCTGCGTGCTCCCGTGGCCGGGAGCAGGGAGCTCCCGCTGCGCCCCTGACCTCCACACCCCAAAACCCTCCACGAAGCCCCCCGTGGGGTCCCTGGTTCCATCACGGCTCTCCAGGAAGGGGTTCTCCCTCCCTGCTCTCCTCTCTATTCCATTTTTTTCCCTTTTCCTCGGCACTTCTCCCTCTCCGAGGGTGAGGGGGTGTCGGGTTCTGGGTGCTGATCACACGCTGCTTCGCGGGTGATGTTTTCCCAAGCGGGAACTGCTGCGCGGCTCCGCTCGCCGGGGCCTGGGGACAACCCATGGGGAGCAGGAGCTCCGGGTGGGACCTTCCCCCTCCGAGCTGGGGGTCTCCCATCAGCTCCCAGGGAGGGAGGCAGGCCCAGCGCTCTCCCAGGGGCCTCAGGATCTCCTGTGGATGTTTCTCCTCGGCCGATACCTCTGTTCCCGGCCACCCCAAGCTTTGCTCCTGCAGGGCTTTGGAGAGCCAAGCTGCTCTCCTGCTGCCGTGCTGGGGTCTGGCCGCCTGATGGAGACCTTCATCCCCATCAGCTCCTCTCCATCACCGGGCTGCCTCCCCAGAAATGCCTCCTGCTCTCCCCACGCCTGCTCCAGCTCCCTCTGCAGATATTTAGTTCTTGCATCCCAGCACGGGACTGCCCCAGGATGGGGGATGCCAAACCCCAAACGCCTCTGGACGAGCAGCTCGGGGAGGACCAGCGTGTCCCCGGGGGGCTGTGGCAGGTGCCCCCTCCTCCCAGGGGACAGGGTTTGCATGGGCCTCAGGGAGCTTGCAGCAGTGCCTTGCGTGCAGAACCAGTGGGGCTGCAGATTCCATATTGCAGAGATCCCAAAATTACTGGGACAGTTTCACACGCAAGCTGGGGTCTGGGGGATGCTCAGTTGCTGTCCTCTGGGAAGCTGAATTTGGGGTTATTTTTAGATGAAAATTATAAATACCATGGTAAGGAGAGCTGATTTACATTTAGGGTTGTGTTTGCAAACGTGCCCTGTCCCTGCGGGCCCCAGCACTCCCTCCTGCCTTCACACGAAACTGCTTTCAGCTGGGATGGGGTGTCCCCAGGGCCACCCCCTCCCCAACACCAGGGTGCATGGTCAGGGACCCTCCTGCAGACATGGCCACGGATACTTGGGGACCCCCAGCAGGCGCCATGCGGCTCCCTGGGGCCATCGCACGCTGCTCTGGGTGGGGAGAAACCTCTGCAGAACCACACATCCTCAGAGCCCTGGGAGGAGAAAGGACGTGACTGCCTGGTGGGACATACAGTCCCTGGTCCAGAGCACCCTCTCCCCAGCATGAGGTGCCCAGGGTGTCCTGCCTCTCTCCCTCCACGGCAGCTTGCTGGGCTGTCCATCCCCTTTCCTGCCACTGGGCTTCTCCCTTCCTTCTCCCAGGTGGAAGATGCCTGTGGAGCTGGAGAGGCTCCCAGGTACCCCCAGTCTGGCCTGACCCATCCCATCCCCTTCCCCAGCCCCACTCTCATCTTCATCCTATCCCTGCCCCCATCTCCACCCCATCCCAACCCATCCCACCCGCGTTCTCATCCCCATCCCCACCCTCATCCTATCCTCCTCCCCATCCTCATCCCAACTCCATCATCCCCATCCCATCCCCATCCCAGCTGGCAGGGTGAAGGCAGCCGGTCCATCCCAACAGCGGGAGGGCAGACACTTTCCCTT